TTTCCAGTATTATTTTTATTACTAAGGCCATATTTTCCCCAACAGAGTCTTCCTCTTTGTTTCCAACCTTTGTATTCCAATTGCCAGTAATTATCGATACATCTTGGTAGAATGTTTGATCATTTTTAGACTGAAAAAGTTGCTAGAATTCTTCAACTTCATCATAATTAGCTTTAATAGTTGGTGCATAAATTTGAATAATAGTTGTATAGTTGTATCCTTGTAGGCAAATGGATATACCCTATCATAGATAGCATTATACTTCAAGACAGACCTTGAAATGTTCTTTTTGATGATGAATTCAATTCCATTCCTGTTCAGTATGTCATTTCCAGCATAGTAAATCATGTTATTGCTAGATTCAAAATGGCCAATACTATTCCATTTCAGTTCATTAATGCCTAGAATATCGATGCTTAAGCATTCCATTTCATTTTTGACAACTTCCAATTTTCCTAGATTCACACTTTGTACATTCCATGCTCCAATTATTAATGGATGTTTACAGCTGTTTCTCCTCATTTTGAACTGTGCCCTAACAACAAATGAAGGTCTCAAAAGCTTTACTCCATCTCATTCAACACTGTCAACTCTACTTTGAGGAGGCAGCTATTCCCCAGTCACATTTTGAGTGCCTTCCAACCGGAGGGGCTCATCTTCTGACACTATATATCTGACAATATTTTGATGCTGTTTATCATGCTTCAATATTCAATATTCTCGTGCTGACAGTGTTCCACTGCTATTCATAAGGCTTTCAGTGAGTAAATATTCAGAAGTAGTCTGTCTCTCCTTGTTTCTAGTATGTGTTAGTCTGGAAGCTCAGCTGAAACTTGTCCATCATGGGTGACCCTGCTGGTATTTAAAATACCAGTGGCATAGCTTCTAGAATCTCAGCAACATGCAATCCACCACAGTATGACAAACTGTCAGTATTTATTCTTATATGGGTATTTTCTCATATCCACAGTCTCTGTCATTCCCCCCATTAAAATGTGGGATCTAATTCTCTCCCTTGGACTGTGGGCTTCTAGTAACAGAATGCCACAAAAGTACTGCTGTGTTATTTTTGAGGCTAGATTAGGAAACGTGATATATACGTACGAGGGGGCTGCACAAAGTTCTTGCGAAAAATGCAACGAAAAGATAATGGAACTTGGCCACAGACTTTCTGAAGTCTCCTCATATATATATTTCCCAATCTGTGAAATCCCTGGGTAAGAAGAGAATAGTGGAGTCTGCCATTCCCCCTGCCATTGCTATATTTAAGTTTGAACTGAAGATACCTATGGTCATCTTTTATTTTTTTTAATGGTCATCTTTTGAGTCATGTAAATAGCATAATGCTCAATTTCTTCCAAAGAGGTAGGGGAGAACACAAGAACTGTAATGATTAGATAATTTCATTTAAAAATGACTTGCTCTAATGAATTCACTGAACTCACTGAAATGGTGTATACTTTTTAAATTATCTTTTAGAGATAAAATGCTTAATTGCTAAAACCAGTGGTATATTTTATTGAAGAAAACACTGACAAGTTACAGTTGAGATATTGGTCGTCTGAGATAAAGTTAGAAAAAACTCAGGGGCTAATGGCTCCCATTACCACCCATACGTCAGTTTTTCATACTACGGTGTAACTGTGATGCTAGAAACGATGCTACTAGTATTCCAAATACCAGCAGGATCACCATGGCCAATAGATTTCAGCAGAGTTTTCATACTAAGACAGGCTAGGAAGAAAGGCCTGTGATCTTCCTCCAAAAATTTGCTGATGAACACCTTTTGAGTCACAAAAGAACATTGTCCAATTCGTTTGCTTTGGACATGTCATCAGGAGGGATCAATCATTAGGGGAGAACATCATGTTTGGTGAATGAGAGGACCAGCAAGGGCAAGGGAGATACTCAGTAAGATGGGTTGGCATACAAACTGTAATGATGGACGTGAACATGGGGGTCATCAAGAGGATAACAAAATTAGGCTGTGATTGTTTTTTTGGACATAAGGTTGTCATGGGTTGGATTGAAAGCAAATGGCAAGTATTAAGTATTACGAGTCCTGATGTGGCACTGTAGGATAAGCACTGGACGGAAAGGTGTGGTGAACTGCAAGGCTGATGTTTCAAACTCACCAGCTGCTCCTCAGAAGCCCTGTACAGAGTTGCTTTGAGTCAGAATCTACGTGATGGCACTTAACAAAACAGACCCAAGGCCATGTTTGACCACAGTGAATGGGATGAGGGTGAGAGCAGCAACACTTGCTTCTTAAAGGCTCAGCTAAGATCTTTATGAATTCTATCTGCTGTACAACAATAAAGCATAGTGGCAATACATAGGATAGAGGAAACATCATGAAACTAGAAACTGGACTTCTATATATGCAAATACCTGTAAGGTATGAATACTGCTTGAAGACTTCAGAAGGTGTAGGTCCTGTCAGCAGAAAAACATCAATGATTCCACTCTCAGACATCCAATGCACATCAGTTTGACATCTGACCTTTTGCTTAGGAGCAAGTGGGTCCATCTGGGTCAATGTGTTCTGGGAAAGAAATGCAATGAAAATCTGAAAAATTTCCTTCTCACTTAGAACACCCATCCATATGTGAGTAATAGTCTGTTACTTTGGTACCTACTATTGGCATTGAAGGATTATACTGCAAAGCCTTTGGTGGCAGCATACAGAAACAACACTGCAAGGCTGTTTCCTGTGTAGATGTGGCACACAGCCCTGACCCATAGCTCACCTCTACTGGAGGCTCTGTCTTGATCTCCACTAGTGTTTCTGAGGCATTCAGCCAGAAAATACCCAGAGTTCTGCCCAGTTTGTGGGCCAGGAGATAAGGCACTGAACCATAAATACCCATTTTGTTATGTATCTTGTACCCATAGACATCCAGGTTATAAAGACGATACACATCTCCATCACTGAAACACATAAATAAGGATGATCATAAATCACCATTACAAAATTAATTATTAATAGATGGAATAGCTCTACTCTTTCCAATAAACACTTAGGTTGTAGGCATCTTGCAAGGTTCAACTCTTACCACTCTACAGGTTTCCTGACCCCATCTTGGTGAATGTCATCTTTCTCTGACTCATTTGGTACTCTATAATGTGACATGACTAGGCATGATCACATATCTTAGATTTCTTTTTTGAATATCTCTTGTGAGGGGAGGAGTTTCCTGTGAATTTCCATTGTAATAGCAAGCACACACAGCAAGTATCTACTGACAAATTTTGTTGAGTTCCTCTCTCAGTTAAAATGAAAGGATGATGTCTAATTGGCTTGCACAGTGCTGAACTGGGGAACACTGCAAACTGAATCAGGTGGGGGCTCAGAGTCCAGGTTGGTGAGCGAGCAGCATGGCTCAGTGTAATATTGCATGCAAGTTTCTAATGCACCTGAATCGGGAAACTTTGATCAGACTAGTTCTCTTCTGCTTCCTGGTCAAGGTCCCTTCTTGTGAGTTTCTGGTATCTCTGGAATCTGTCTTTCAACAACTGGCCTGAAATGATCTCCCTAAGACAATCAAAGGTGGTATGAGATGCCACACTTTACTGTTCTCTGCCTCTCTGCCTCTTTTGCTAAAAGCCTTTTTCTAGGTCAGTGATTTTCACACTGAATTCTCCCAGGGCTCTACACAAAGACCTAGAGAGGTGAAAGACAGTCACACCTACTTCAATTACAGCAGCTCCCTATTTTCACTTCTGCTGTAGTTTTATATAATGGTTCAGCATTACAATTTTCTTAAATTGTCTAATTTTTGAGGCACTGAGGGTTAATGCGCTGGACTGCAAGGTCAGTTTGAACCTCAAGGTTGGTGGTTCAAGCTCGCTAACCACTCCTCAGAAACTCTATACAGGGTTGGAACTGACTCAACAGCACTTAGCAACAACAACAACAATGTCTGCCAAGAAAATAAATAAAATTTGAAAATTATTACTCTGAGTGATCATTCTAGGGAGGCTGTTAAAGATCCACAAGCAATATCAAGGAGGTAAAAGTGGTGCATATATTAGTACTGGTTCTTTCCAAGTTTTTCAATCTAGAAACTAGAGCTTCCTGTAAGAATTCTTGTTTTACTTTACCCAGTACTTTTCAGTTGGTGTGATTCTGCATGTTGTGGGATCCCATACAGATGACTGAATCCATGCAAGGAGAAATCCAAACCAATGGAGGTAGGACCTGTAGGGACAGAATCTTAACTGAGTTTTGCTTCCAAGGGGACAATTAAAAAGAGATTCAATGTGCTATGAATGTAGCAAGATGACATGACTAGGGGTTGAGAGACCTGAGCTTGCCCTTAACAATCACCAAATACTGTGGGCTGACACTTGTAAGCTGTTATATTAAGGTCTAGTTGGAGATACAAAAATGCATAAGGAAAAGTTCTGCCACTTGTTAGTTATGTGTGTTAAAGCTCTTTACATCCTCATTTACACTTAACATCCTTTCTAGCTCCTGTCGTAGAATTGTAGGATAAGCACTGGACTGCAAGGTCAGTTTGAACCACAGGGTCGGCAGTTCAAATCCACCAGTCACTCCTCAAAAACCCTATACAGGGTCACTGTGAGTGAGAACTGGCTCGATATCACTCAACAACAACAATCTGTAAAATGTGGTGACACACTGTTTTCGAATCAAAAGTTTCCTAAAATATATTACATTACTTTTTGCTTTCAGAAACAAAGGATATTAAGCAATTTCATCTTCTCTAGATGAATGACTGGTCGTCTTCAGCATGGTCACATCTTTGTGCCAGCCTTCTCTGAAGGAAGACCTCCAAAGGTAGTCATGGCGACTATCTATAGGGACTGTAATTTCAAGGACACTGGGAGGATCTTACCTGGCCTCTCAAAATACCTCCTCCCTGTGATTATAGATATATAAGATTATTTCATTAAAGACAAAGACTTTCACTTAACAATTATTTTAGGGTTATGGGGAAAATGCAATGACTGAGAGCACACGGACTCAAATTTATTCTTAGGTGAAAGGTCCTTAGTTGTAGGAGTTTGTGGAAAGGTGATGCTACAGAGAAGGTGAAAAAGGTTATATTACAGAAAGGAGAGTGGAAGGATTCCTCTACTTAAAAATCTGTGGCCTCTTGTCAGCCCCGATCATTATACTATGCTCTAGCTACAGATATATACAAAGGATTTTCAAGAGTTGTAGTGGTTGTAGTTGTGTGTCGTCAAGATGGTTCTGACTCAATAGCAACCCTGTATAGGGCTTCCAAATTTGGGAAGAAAAGATAGAAAGTGACTATAATTTCCAATTATATCCTGAGTCCCAAGAATCTAAAAGGTGCCTCTTAAAGAGATAAAACTTGCCTCTCCTTAACCTTGTGAAAAATGTCAGCGATAAGAGTGGGATGCCCACATGAATGATAGGAAGGCTGTGAAAAGGGTGAGATGCATTGGTCTGGAATGCGGTAGCTGATGAGCTCTAAAAGTTGATTTTGTCATTTCATTCTCATAAAAATGAAATGCAGAATCTGTAGCTGCTAGAGCTCCAGGACAATACACCCAGTATGCTGACCTACACTTCCTGAGACCTTTTGCTATAGGAGGCCTATTAGACTTCTCCCACTGAAAGCATACAATCATCAATGTTTTGGTCACAATACATTACGGAAAGATAGAGGACCCAAATCTGAGATTTCTGTTCACCTTATAGAAGTCATTAGCTTAGGTGTCAAAGCTTAAGGGACTTTAAGAGAGAAACCATTATTTTGGAAGGATCTGTTTAATACTATACCAGTTTCAATTTACCATTAGCTTTGATATCTACAAAATCTCTGAATTTCTCCTCCCACAGGCCCATATCATCTTGGTTTTCCTGCTGGTACAAAAAAAGGGAGCAATTTCAGTGTATAAATTACAACAAACCTGGTTATCACAACAGCACAATATATTTGAATGATCAAAAATGAGACTGAAAAAAAAATGAAACTGAAAAATGAACACATATTTAAAAGACTAGTTTGTGATGACAGTACATCTAACAAATAAAATGTGTTCTATAAAAATTTTAGTAATTTTTTTTATTTTCATGAACCATTTTACCAAAATGATGTGACAGCAGTTTGAAAAAAACCCAAAATTTTACATTTGTAGGAAATCATTTTTTTTCCCCTTAGCTTATAAATATATGAGACAAAATATTTGGAATCAACTACTTAAGTATGTGCTATTTTGGGAAACCCTAAAAGATGTGTACATTTCTCCTTGTTCCAATTCACCCAACTCTTGGCTACATTTCTGAGCTGCCTTGAGAAGTCAATTCAACAGGGTGGCACTGACTGCTCAGGTCCATACTTTTTTTTAAACTGGAGCTATAGCTTCCTTGTTGTTAAATGCCATTGAGTCCTTTCACCATACTTATTTAATCTGTATGCTGAACAAATCATCCGAGAAGCTGGGTTATATGAAGAAAAACATGGCATCAGGATTGGAGGAAGACTCATTAAAAACCTGCGACATGCAGGTGATACAACCTTGCTTGTGGAAAGTGAAGAGAACTTAAAATACTTACTGATGAAGATCAAAGAGCACAGTCTTTGGTATGGATTGCATCTCAATGTAAAGAAAACAAAAATCCTCACCACTGAACCAATAAACAACATTCATATCAATGGAGAAAAGATTGAAGCTGTCAAGGACTTCATTCTTCTTGGATCAACTATCAACACTCACAGAAGCAGCAGTCAAGAAATCAAAGGATGTATTGCATTAGGCAAATATGCTGCACAAGATCTTTTTAAAGTGTTAAAGAACAAAATGTCAGCTTGAGGACTAATATGCGCCTAACCCAAGCCATGGTATTTTCAATAACCTCATATGCATGCGAAAGCTGGACAGTGAATAAGGAAAACCATGGAAGAATTGATGCTTTTGAGTTATGGTGTTAGAGAAGAATATTGAAAGTGCCATGGGCTGCCAAAAGAACCAATAGATCTGTGTTGGAATAAGTGCAGCCAGAGTGCTCCTTGGAGACCAGGATGGCCAAAGTTCATCTCTCATACTTTGGACATATTGTCAGGAGGGACTAGTTGCTGGAGAAGGATATCATGTGTGGTAAGGTGGAGGGTCAGAGACAAAGAGGAAGACCCCCAGTGACATGGATCTGCAAAGTGGCAGCTTCAATGGGCTCAAGTGTGGCCCAGGATCAGGCAGTGTTTCATTCTGTTATGCATAGGGTTGCTATGAGTCAGTACCAACTCGATGGCACCTAACAACAATATAGCTTACTTAAGATTTATGGAACTCTCCTTTTTCCTAGTAGAAGGAGAACATTTTTAAAGAATTGTGTATGAAACTCACAAGCCACCACTCGCCTGTCAGTTTGTCATACTGTGGTGGCTTGTGAGTTGCTGTGATTCTGAAAGCTATGCCATCTGTATTTTAAATATCATCAAGGTCACCCATGGTGGACAGGTTTGAGATGAGCTTCCAGATGACGATAGACTAGGAAGAAGAAGTGATGAATTACTTAAGAATATTTAGTCACTGAAAACCTTATGAATAGCAGAGAAACACTGTCAGATAAACTGCCATGACACGAGCCCCTCAGGTTGGAAGGCACTCAAAATGCAACTGGGGAAGAGCTGCATCCTCAAAGTAGAGTTGACCATGATGACGCAAAAGGAGTAAAGCCTGTGGGAGAAAACCCCACAGAACCATCATTTGCTGATGGGGCACAACTCAAAATGAAGAGAAACACCTTTAAACATCCACTGGAAATTGGAACATGGAATGTACAAAGTGTGAGTCTGGAAAAATTGGAAGTTG